GGCCGTGGTGGCTGGCTGCTGGGCCAGGCACGCTTCACAACATTACAAATCAGGCAAGACTTGGGCGGCTTTCCCTTTTTCAGTCTCCCGAGGGCTTCCTTCCAAGCTTTGGTGGGGGGCCGCACTCGTTTTTCAAACCTTGAGGAAGCGCAGCGCAGTGCCGACCACAAGCCTCGCAAAAGAAAACACCCCTGAGAGTGGCCAACATGTGCGAGGTGTGGCACTGATCAGCGACACGATGATCCAATCCCTCATCCACTCTGCCCTCAGGGGGGCCCAAATCATCAGGAGAAACGTCATCACCAGACCCAATCAGGTCATCTGCCTGCCTCGGGGGGAGAGCTTGAATTCGTTGCAAAATGTCGGCTCGAGGCTCGCACAGAGACGGCCAGAATTCACAGAGAGAGCTTCGCTTCGAGAAGGCTTTGAAACACAGGCCACATTTCAAAGTTGCCGACGTCACAGAACACTCATGACCTGCATCCTTCAGCCGGCACGGGCGAACTTATAGGCTCTTGAGAGAGTTCTTTACTCGATTCCCAGGCGGACGAGTCGTGATCTCACGGTCAGAGGCGAACAAAGCCAAGAGGCGGCCTAAAACCTTGAGAGCCCTCTCGTCAGCCTGCTCCGTGAGCTTGGCTTGAGCATCTGACACCTGGCCGTGTTCAGCAGCTTTTCGAAGCGAACAACATCTGCAGCTATGTTCAAGTATACCTCCACAGGGGTCAAACACAGATGATAAATCTGGGGCATGGTGGGGTGACCTTTGGTCCATCGAACGCCGACCAATCCGCCACGGGAGTCCACGGTCCGATGGTACATTGCCCCGGGATCCAACATTGCAAATTGTGATTTACGCTTGATAGCCTTCCTCACACCGCGCACCACAGCCAAACAATCACAGACAGCGATCACATCACCAGTGGACCTCTGGAGCAGCTGGAAGAGGGCATCAAGTTCAGCGCGGCCAGCCGTTTGCACCTTAGTGGGCAGCGTACCACTGGCATCTCCATCTGCACAGTCGCCATCGCTTTGGTTGACGATCGCCCAGCCGCAGCGCCTAGTATCCAATCCAGGTGATGCTTGCCTCCAGCCCCATCGATCCCCCAAACTCCCCCATGGATCTGAGCTCCATTGCCGAACCTCGCCCAATCCCATCCAAGCGCGAGATGCTCGGGAAGGTGGCCACAACTAGCACTAAGAGGCGGCAGGCCTCGGAGCCAGAAGCTGGAGCAGTCAGGTGCTCCAAGGGCAGCATCTTTAAATCTGTCCGATCGGGAGACCGCAAAATCAGGGATACCATTGTTGCAGCGACAGTCCCACAAGCGATGAGCGGCGGTCTCGGGAGCCAGGCCACATCTAGGACAGAGGCCTCTGGTGCAGGAAACGTACCCAGCATTTGCCAACATGCCCTCCGTCCAGACGCCTCCTGCCACAACGCTCCTGAACAACCCCGCGGATTCGAAGGACCCATCCTTCTCCAGCTTTTCAAAAACGTACGGGGGCAGTAACATCAACTCTTCCTTCCACGCCTAACCCTAAATCATTATTCGCGGCCGTGCGCCAAGACAACTCCAAACACAGCTCCTTCAGCTGGGTCCACAGGACGTGCGGAACACGCTCGTCACTGTGGCACAGGCGCACGCCACTTGGGAAGATCCAGAAGACAGGGCTGAGCGGGTGAACGTGAAGATCCAACAATACAGTCGGGGCCCTGAAGAAGGAACCCTTTTCGTTGGGGAGGGGCTCCGTGTTCCTTAATTGTTTCGCAGCTTGCCCTGGATTTTCCATATGTTTTCGATATGAAATCGAAGTTTAACTTCTGGAAAATAGGGGCCTCGTTCCTTATTTAGGGTTTCTTAGGTCAACGCCCCGACTGTACAGCAATCGTGGCCACGATGGGACCACTCGTTTTTTGCCATTCTTATCGGGTCTTCCCAAAAGCCTTCAAGAGAACCTTCGAACAATTAGCAACCTCCATACTCATCTTGTGGCCAAGGTCGCTCCAAAACACCATGGCAAGCGATCAACCGTTCGCACCGGAGCCTGAACTGGGGTTCACCTTTGGCAGATTTCACCAGTCCGAGGACCGAGGTGGTACAGGCCCCAGGGGTCCACCAATCCGAACACACGGCCGCCTGGGCTCTCATCGACCAAATCTGGCTTCCAGTGAAGCCCAAGACTTGGTGGCTCCATGAGCCAACCGCCAAGATCCTGGGCTTGTAGAGCATCCTGGCCCTGCTAACAATACGGCACAAACAGCTATGTGTTGGGCCGTTTTGGAGGCCTGTGCCCGACGCTGCATGAGCTTAACGGTGAGCTTCCTCTTACCTGCCATGGTCTCACGCAGCATACTGAAACTTGATGGGGAGCCCCACGGCTCTGACACGTAATGCCAACTGCTTGCCGAGGTCTTTGTGATTGCAGACCAGGGCCGACTTTGATGAGAGGGGGCAGCCCAGGCTCTGCACTTGGCGGGTAAGAAGCATTGCGGCAGGATTGAGGGCACCGATAATCTCATCAGCAGTGCAGTGCTGCAACTGGGTAATATCATCGACGTATCCTTTCACTTGCACTGGCCGAGAATGCACATGAGCACAATCGAGAACATCATACACCAGGATACCTTTTCCTCCCCCGATCACGTCAGAGCCACATCCACCTACTTCCAACAGCCGAGGGGGGGTATGAAACAACATCCCAAGGTACATCACGTGTAAAGGAAACTCCATCTTAATTGCCAAAGCGATGAGCTTGTGCGACTCTCCTGGTCTACGAAGCTGGTGAGGCTTTGTGGGCCCCGGAAACGGCAGGGCCGCTTTTTTACCGTTTCCACATAAATGCCCCTTGAAAATGGAAACGGCAAAAAGACGGCGACCCGAAACGGCAAAAAAAACGGCTCCAGGATTGGAACCTGGAACCGGTCAAACAACGGCGACAGAACCGGTAAAAAAGCGGCGTCGGAACTGGCAACAAAAACGGCAGAACGGAACCTATAAAAAAATGCACTGTCGTTTCCAGGGCCCACTAAGGACGTGTGGGCTCAGGACAGGTACAACGTTTGGGACACCGCTGTCAAGGCTCCACTGCCCTGCAGGCGGTTCTGCTGCGAGAGCTCGGCCATGAAGCTGCTAGGCTCCGAGGCCTCTGCTCCGTGGGCGCGCACTGGGACCTCACCACTTCATGGCCGAGCTCTCGCAGCAGAACCGCCTGCAGGGCAGTGGAGCCTTGACAGCGGTGTCCCAAACGTTGTACCTGTCCTGAGCCCACACGTCCTTAGTGGGCCCTGGAAACGACAGGGGCCAGTTCAGTTCTGCAGTTTTTTTACCGGTTCCGTCGCCGTTTTTTGACCGATTCCGGCTCCGGTTCCAATCCTGGAGCCGTTTTCTTTTGACGTTTCCGATCGCCGTTTTTTTGCCGTTTCCATTTTCAAGGGGCATTTATCTGGAAACGGTGAAAAAACGGCCCTGCCGTTTCCGGGGCCCACAAAGCACACGTCTAAGTCATGGTTCCGAGCCTTGCAGTACACCCTGTAAAGAGTAGGGCGCTCACAGGTAGGCCGATCGCATTCAGCACTCTCAGAGCGCTCTCAGCGACCTAGGAGCCCAGAGATCAACACCAACAGCAGGGACCCCCGTTGGACATCGGCAACAGTGAGCGGCTCAAGCTGCTCAGAGAGACTCAAAGTCAGAGGACGAAGCGCATCCAGGACTCCAGACAGCTAGGGTCGAGAGTCAGGGGAGTTTCGAACTTCCGACCAGAAGGACTCGGTAGTCCATCAGATCCCCAGGGAGTTGCCGAATCCCAGAGGGGGAAACCAAACATTGGGGGGCATTTCCTAAGTCGTGCTTAAGCCAAGCGTGAACCTTCTTGGCCCCTTCAGGGAGGGCCTTCAAGAGCAAATGTTTGATCCCAGCTTTAGAGGGCGCTCTGGCAGCCGACCACGCAGCTCGAAGAGACAGGGAACCCGCATCGGAGAGAACGTCGAGCTTGTCCACCTCCGTGGGCAGGCAGCTCAACTGGGCCTACCACCATATCTATGCCATGAGGATCGTCACCACGACGGTGCTCTCGAATGGGGTCAGCCAGACCTTGCAACATAACGCCTATGCTAGTGACCAGTCGTGGAGACTCCCTGGCAAGTTACAAACTGTACTCCTTCCACGTCTGGGAGATGTGGGCCCAAAACTCTCCCTAACATTTTGGCTCTCAGGACACCTTTTCCGAGCTGTGTTAGTGACTTAGAACATTGGGAAATCTCCACGATGTGCATTGCTAACGTTGAGGTCACACGCAACCGCTCGGGACTCAAACATGGCCTCGGTCGCCTTTGACCAGAGAAGGTACTTCTTCGTGAGGTCCCCGCTCAGGTGATCCTTCACGGGCGGTAGACAAGCGTCTTGCAAAAAGCTGGAGGGAGGAGGAGGAGGAGGAGGAGGAGGAAGAGGAGGAGGAGGAGAAGGAGGAGGAGGAGGAGGAGGGAGAAGGAGGAGGAGTAGGGAGGAGGAGGAGGGAGGAGGAGAAGGAGGAGGAGGAGCAGGAGGTGTTGAGCGACCCTCGCGGCGTCAGAGACCAACACTCAGGTGGCAGCAGCCCCACGCCCCTGCGGTGCTCCCGGCCTCCCCGCGGGGCACGGGGTAGCCCACGACTCTTCCTGTGGGCAAGGCGCTGCCAGGCTGCGGCACGGGTGCCTGCACGAGCGCACTTCTGAGCATAAGATGTGTACATGCCCCGGGAGTGTCGGACCGGGAGTGCGTGACGGTATTCGCCAGCAGCGTCTGCCACTTGGCATCATGTGTGTGTGCGTGCCACGAGCTCATCACACGACTCGCTGATTGTCGTCAGGGTGATTTGTTTGTACTGTGTTTGGTATTCGTGGCTGCGCAGCTGGCTGTGATCCCGCGGACGTTGTTCGGTAGATTTTCAGATAATCCTGGCTCGAGTCGGCTCGCAGGCTCACAGCACCTCGGAATCTGCGGCCTGCTCCAGGATTGAGCGCCATGGTCGTTGCGTTTCTGGTCGCGTGTGTTTCCGCGTTTTTGTTCCCCGCGCAGGTTGCGTCCATTACTGTTGATAATGAGACCAATATGTTTTTGGACAGCCAGGGTAGGCAGCGCTTGTGGCATGGCATCAACATCGTCAACAAAGTAGCTCCGTTTCATCCGTCGCTGGACGTTTTCGCACCTGGCCAATCGGTGACAGACGATGACATTAAGGTGCTGCTGTCCATGGGCGCATCAGTTGTCCGCCTGGGAATCATGATGAGCGGTATGTTCCCCGACGGGCCAGTGCTGAATAAAACCTACTTGGAGTACTCCATGCGCGTTGCCGACAAGCTTCACGAGAACGGTATCGGCACCCTCATCGACCTCCACCAGGACGTGCTGGCTGCGAAGGTATGTGGCGAGGGCACGCCTGACTGGATGCTCAACGTCTCTTCTTTGAACGCAATGCCTCTCCCGAGGCCGGCGTCGTACGCAGCTGTCGAGATCGACCCAGCGACTGGTCATCCGAAATCATGTCAGCCGCTGGGGCCTTTGAAGGCTATCGGCTGGTCGGAGTGGTACACGACGGACCAGTGCGGCAAGGCATTCGCCCAGCTCTACGGGCTCGACAGTCCCATGTCGAAGACGTTCGAGGCGTACTGGCACGCCGTCGCTCTGCAGTTCAAGGGCCACCCGGGAGTCGTCGGGTCCCCCAGGGGGGAACCCTCTGCGCCCGCCATGCCCCAGATGCTTCAGAACGGGTATCAGAGCCCCGAATCATCAGGGGTAACTCGGGTCAGGGATAACTCGGGTTCGTTTTTTCGGGAATCCGAACCCGAGTTACCCCGGACCCGAGTTACCCCGGATAACTCGGGCGTCCAGAGCCCCGAATCATCAGGGGTAACTCGGGTCAGGGATAACTCGGGCTCGTTTTTTCGGGAACCCAAGCCCGAGTTACCCCGGACCCGAGTTACCCCGGATAGCTCGGGCGCCCAAGGGTAGCGGGCAGGACGTGGGCAGACGGGAGGATACCACGGGAGTGAGGGGCTTCTGTCCGCGCGAGCCCATCTACAGTGCTGGCTGCTTCGCGCTCATCATACGTTTCTGCCTCGTCTCCTTCTTCTTCTCATCCGTCCCCTTCTCCTTTCGCCGGGGGCGGGGGGCCCGTGGCGCCCAGCTGGAGGTGGCTCGCGCCGCCCTCGTGGAGGCCCAGGGGCGGGGGGGGGCAGTGTGGGCCGGCCAGTGCGGGGGGAGCCCGGCGACGTCTTAGGAGCACCATAGAGGGCGGGGACGCCTTCGGGCCCGGAGCCCGCCTCCGCCGGGGCCCAGCGCCGGTGCCCTTTCGGGGCTGCGCAGGAACTTGCAGCGCTAAGAATTCTGCGGCCGTGGCGGGATGTCGATCTCGATTGGAGGTGATGCTCGCGTCTACAGCTTCCCCGTAGCCACAGGGCGACCTCTCGCGCAGGTAAAAAGTGTGTATGGGCTTCTCAGGAGATGGGGCCAGAGAATCGGGGGGATGTATAGGCTTCCCAGGAGATGGGGTCCAAGGAGATGGGGCAGAGGATCGCGCCGCATCGCGGACGCATCGGCGATGCGGCTCGATGCGGAGCCCGATGTTTTTTACGACGACATCGCCGATGCATCGCCGATGCGTGGCCGATGCGCATCGATCTGCCGGCACCACCAACCCGAAGCCAATGTTTTGGGGAGGCTTCTCCGATATTGACTAAAGTTGATGCATGTGTGGGGGGGGCCTTCACTCCCATCCGCGCTTGCGGGTGCGATGGTAGTACAGGGGGTTAGCGAGGGGTGTCTTGGAAACGAAAATGTTGGCACCGCGCTGATGACCCGCCCTGTGGTGGTGTCATGCGCCCGCCACGGCGCCAGCCGAAGTTTGGGTGCCAGTGTTGGTTTTTGTGGGGTGGCTTTCATCGCCGAGCCGCATTGGCGGCGCCGAGCTGCTGCCAGCCAGGGCCAGCCTTCGGGGTAGGTGCTGGTCGTCGGTGTTCGTAGTGCTTGGTGCGGTGGAGGTGAAGTGCCTGGCCCCCGCCAAGGTACGAGCTGCTGAACGAGCCGTGGGTCGGGGACCACGTCGGCAGCCCATCGCTTCTTCTCGAGGCGGGTCGCGCCGAGCAGGGACTCCTGAAGGATTACATGCAGCGCATGCACGACGTCATCCGGGGCGTGGACAAGGACGCGCTAATCCGAGGGCTTGCGCCAGGCCCCGCCCAAACCCATGATGTGGACCGTGCAGCCCTCGGCCCCCGCCCGCTTCGCAGCAGAGACTCCTCGCACAGGGTGCCCTGGCAGGTGCCCTGCGGCTCACGTATTGTCTGTGTCTACGGTGGGGGGCGTTCGTTGAGGGATGTGCCCAGGCTGCCTCAGACCCTGAAGGATTCCTCATCTGAGGGCGGCGGTGATGTCCATGGCCGAGCGGCCTCAGTTCGTGTTCCACCGGTTTCCAGGCCCTGGATTCCTGGATCCCTTATCCAAGGCTTCCTTAAGCAATGCCCTCACCGTAGTTCTCGGCCTTCCACATGGGGTCCGAGTAGATGGGGTCGGAGGATCGCGCCGCATCGCCGATGCATCGGCGATGCGGCCCGATGTGGAGCCGAGTTTGATCTTCGCGCAGACGCCGCCGACGCAACGCCGACGTCGCCGATGCATCGCAGATGCACCGGCGCTGCATCCGGCGGTGCGGCGCGATCCTCCGACGCCATCTGCATCGGCGCCGCATGTGGGTGGGAAGCCTCCGCTGTGGTGGGAGCCGGTGGCCGCCCCCGTGGGGGGAGAAAGAGAATGGCGCTCGGGGCTGGGCCGAAGCGTCGCCCGTCCCCAGAGGTGAAGTCGGGCCTGTCCCTCTACAGGGGGGATGCGCAAAAATAGTCAAGAAATAGCCTGGGGACTATTTTTTGAGTATCTTCTTGGGCATCTTTTGAGAATTTGTTGGGTATTTCTTGTATTCTCGTCCAAGAGCCCCCTGTTTGGGGGACAGGCCCGACCTAACCCTTACCCCAAAGGAGGCGCGGCCGGGGCGCGGAGAGGAAGGGGGGCGCACCTCGCGCAGCGCGGCGCGCGCGGAGGCAGGTCGCCCGGGAGCCCAGGGCAGGCAGGATCCCATGGGGTGCGCCCGAGTGTGGTGCCTTCGCCCACAGGGCGCCTTCGCATCCGCAGGTTTCCTGGCCTTGCTCTGCCCAAAGGGCGCGCCTGCAGCCACAACCGCCGCCGCGGCCGCAGCTGGGAGAACAAAGACATCGCGAAACATTCGCGATAATTCCCCCCCTCCCAGCCGCGTCCACAGCCACAGCCGCGCCCGCGGCCGCGGCTGGGATGAGGAAAGACCGCCGCGAAAAATTCGCGATAGTTCCCCCCTCCCAGCAGTGGCCGCAGCAACGACCGGAGCCGCAGCCGCGGCTGGGAGAGGAAAAACCACCGCCACCAAAGGTCTCGCATCCCTGTCGCGCATCCTGCCGTGCAGGCCCTGGCGGGCCAGAGCTCGGCCAGGGCTGGGCCGGGAGGGAGGGGGATGAGAAGCGACAACACCAGGGCCCACCTCCAGCGAGGGAGTCCACGGTGCCTCCCCGAGCTGGGGATAGGGGATTTCTCGAGCGCGAGGGGGCAACCACACCACTGGGGGGACCCCCCATGGGTCCTCCCGCTCGTGGTCCCTGGTGGTGGTGGTGGTGGCGCCGCTTTTCCTTGTGCCTACACGAGGGGGGAGGACGGAGTCCCACGCGCGTGGCGAGCACAGAGGGGGTGCTGGCCGATCCTCTACGCACCTGCCGAAGTCAACAACCGGCTCATGCGGAGAGTCGGATACGAGAGGGGCTTCCTGCCTGGGGCTGGCATGGCTTACCACGTGTACTGCGTGGTTGGCACCGATGGCCCTGGGCCGACCACCCCGACCCAGATCAAGCTCTGCAACTACAACGACAAGAGCCAGATGAAGCAGCGGCAGGAGGACTTCGGATTGCAAGCGCCCCGTGGCGAGCGCGGCCAAGCAGGGCTTGCTCCGAGGGCTTCTCTCCGACCCGTGAAACTTCCCCACTCATTTTGGATTTCCGTTGATTTGCCGTCGGCTCTGGATTAGCTTGGGGGCCCGGAACACACAGGTTTCAGCAGGCTCGCCATGAGCTCCGACAAGCCCCTCTGCCCGCTCCCGTCGGTTGGCCACTACCTCGAGACGCCTCCCTGCCTTGGAATGGTGAGATTCCCGCTAGTTCGCCACGAGCCCCGACTTGGAACGGCTAGCCCCGCTCGATGCGGCTGCCTTACGGCTTCTACGCTATGAAGTGTTTGTTGGTTGCAGTCTTCGCGCGTATGATTGAACGCCTTCTGGTCGTAACGCGCGAGTCACCTCCCTGCCTCCCGTCCAGCAAAGCTCCCATCCCCGCCGATCCCCTTGGCGTCCAGCAGTGGCGCGTATGTCGCTGCTGCGTCGGTATACCTCGCTTTGCTGCGCAGGCGCTACGGCGAGAGCACACTTCTGATTCCAGACTGGAGCATGTGAATCTGCGCAACAGATGTAGCACCTGGCTCGGAGATCATTCATACACATGCCAGTTGCCTGTCCTGGGGCCCAGATAATTGTAACATAGATGAGCTTCTCTTTCCCCCAGAATCCGTACACGCGTTAGACGTGACTGCCGCCAAGTGCCAACAAGGCCGTGGAATGTGGCACCTCCTATGGCCCAGTCGCAAAGTGCCGCAAGATATGTCAGCTCGTTCCGCTTGGCCTACAGGAAGCGTAGATATATAACAGTTGGTTTCCTCAGGTCCCAGATAGTCCTAACATGTGATGCGCCGCCCTTTACTCCAAGTCCCAGACGGTCATGACATGCGTCAGCTCCGATAAGGCTGTCAAGGGTGACATATTGGATGTCCAAGGTCCCGGTAGGCGGTGACACACGACACGTGTCTTCCCTGGCCGTAGTTTGGCGACGGTGGGACCTTTCTGGAGATTCAAAACAACGTTGTTGATGTCTTTCAGCTGTCTTGTGCGAACGTGGGATCGTCTGGAAAAAAACATCGCGCCGTTTGAAAGTTTTGGGGCCGTTTGGAGGAATGTTGGGGCCGTCTTGGGATCGCCATGGGCAGTTCATGGGCCTTGTTTCGGGAAGTCTGGGGCCCTTCTTCCTGCTTGGCGCTGCTCCTACGTGTGCCCCGTTCAGTTGCACCAAGGCGGCTACACGTGCCCCTTCACTTGCAGTTGTTACATTATACACGAGTGTGGACCAGACCACGACAGGGGTTACACAACGATTGCGTGCAATCATCTCTTCGCAGAATTATGTTTGGTGGTTTGGCATCGCTTCACAAGCGATGCTTAAAACGTGTTTCAAATCCGTCCGAGGATGTTGCCCAGCTCTGCTTTGCGTTCTGCCATTATCTGGACACTTCCCAGGCGGTTGAAGTCATCTGGGGGTTGCCAAAACTTGGCCACTCACAGTGTCCCTCCTCGCAGCCCAAACATTTGTGCGACGGACCCGTAACATATGCAGTTGTAAGCACCGTGTTGTGGCACCGCTTTCAGTGGAGCTCCCCAAGGGGCCCCTAACCGTGCGAGGGTTGCACTAAAATTGGGCGGAGCCGCCATGCGAACTCTGCCCCCGCTTGGACCTTCGGTGGAGCTCCCTGTGGGACCACGAACCGTGTGAGGGGTGCGCCAAGATGGGGCGGCGCCGCCAAGCGAACGCCGCCACTGGGGCCTGCGGTAGAGCTCCCTGTGGGGCCACGAACCGTGGTTGCGCTTCTTGGTGCCCAAGCGCAGCTATCGCGCGCGCGCTGCTCTGCTGCTTCGGGGGTCTCTCGCCACGGGGCCGCGAGCCGTGTGAGGGGTGCGCCGACATGCGGCGGCGCCGCCATGCGAACCCTGCCACTGGGGCCTTCGGTGGAGCTCCCTGTGGTGTGGGGCCACGAACCGTGTGCAGAGTGCGCCCACATGAAGCGGCGCCGCCTTTCGAAACCCGCCACTGAGGCCTTCGGTGGAGCTCCCTGTGGGGGGCCACGAACCGCGTGTGGGGTGCACCAAAATAGGGCGGCGCCGCCATGTGGACCCCGCCGTTCTGGCATTCGGTGGAGCTCCCTATGGGGCCATGAGCCGTGTGACAGGTGAAATTGGGCGCCACCGCCATGTGGACCTTGCTGCTTGGGCCTTCGTTGAAGCTCCCTGTGGGGCCACGGACCGTATGGGGGTTGCGCCAGACATGGGGCGGCGCCGTCATGTGGGCCCTGTCACTGGGGCCTTCGGTGGAGCCTACGGGGCCACGAGACGCTGTTCTGGCTGCGCCGAAGTGGTTGACACGCGCAGAGCAGAGATGCAGGGATGGGAGGAGGGAGAAGGAGAAGAGAATGACGATAGGAGGAGGAGGAGGAGGAGGAGGAGGAGGAGGAGGAGGAGGAGGAGGAGGATAGGAGAGAGAAGGAGAGGAGGAGGAGGAGGAGGATAGGAGGAGGAGAGGAGGGAGATATTAGGATAGGAGAGGAGGAGAGAAGGAGAGGAGGAGGATAGGAGGAGGAGGGAGGGAGAAGGAGAGGAGGAGGAGGAGGATAGGAGGTAGGAGACGCGGGGCCAGGACCCAACACCACAGGATGGCTGGGAACAACTGGCGCGCTGCGAGCATCCATCCTACTGCACTCCATCCCTCTCCACTCGTCGGGTACGAGCATTCCCTTCGCGCGTGCCCCGTTGTCGTCTCATGGTGGTTACAGAGTTACCATCCTCCTCCCTCACTCCCTCCCTCCCTCCCTCCCTCCCTCCCTCCCTCCCTCCCTCCTCCTCCCTCCTCCCTCCTCCCTCCTCCCTCCTCCCTCCTCCCTCCCTCCCTCCTCCCTCCTCCCTCCTCCCTCCTCCCTACCAATTCAAGTGAATTGGCTTTCGAATCGTTGGTCAACTTTGACCGTCCAGACCGCACAGCGCGTGCCCAGAGAACACACACACACACACACTCACTCACACAGAACAGGTTGCGAGTGCAGGGGGATGGGCCAGCTGCTTCCACCGCCTGAGCCTTTTCTGGGACCTCCTCCTGCCTGGTACCCTGCCGTGCCTGCCCGGCCTGTCGGGGTCGCTGCGTCGGGCCCAAGGGGGCTGAAAGGCGCAGACCCTCCGGGGAGAAAATTTTGGGCCGTCGATCGACCGTGCCCTCCCTTTGCACTTGGACCTCACGGCTCACCACCGAACCTCTCCGAGGACCTGGCTCGCCTGGGGACCGCGGGCTTCGTCACCGAGTTTGGCGCGGTGGACCCCGTGGCGACGGGCCTCGCGGAGATGAGCTTCGTGCTGGAGCACTTCGAGGCCATGCAGCCGCCCTCCAGCTGGGCCTTCTGGGACTTCAGCGAGATCCAGCGGCGCAGCCCGTGGCTGAGCTTCGGGCTGGCCGCAGCCCGTGGTCCTCCTATCGCGGCCGAGCGGTCAGAGAGCCGTGTGCCGCATTTGCCGCACATCCGCCGGACAGGTGCAGGGTGGGTGTCCGGGCCAAGGCGTATCTCATAGGGCCGACCAGATCTGCGGTCAGATCGCTGTCTTCCGCGGGCGACTGATGTGCACCGTACCGCGTCGGCGTCTCCCGAGGCGGCGTCGATCCTCGATCCAGGAATGGTACGGCTCATACTTCTCAGGCCGAGAACTTTGCACCGTACCGCGCGGGAGCAGGGCCTGAGGGGAGTCGAAGCACGGTACGGTGCATGAGCTCCGTTTTCGTATTCATCGCCAGGTGAGCGACGAAGTAGAAAGGGTGCGTCTTCACCGACGTTGGCGCGTAAGCTGCCCGCGCAAGGTCGTGCGTGAACGCCCTCGCGCCCAGTATGGCGTCTCGCGCGTAAGCCACTACGTAAGGTCCCTGTGCCTTAGTGGGCCCTGGAAACGACAGGGCCGTTTTTTTACCGGTTCCGTTTTGCTGTTTTTGTTGCCGGTTCCGACGCCGTTTTTTTACCGGTTCCGTCGCCGTTGTTTGACCGGTTCCGGCTCCAATCCTGGAGCCGTTTTTGTGCAGTTTCCGGTCGCCGTTTTCTGGCCGACTCCACTTTCAAGGGGCACTTCTTCGGAAACGGTGAAAAACGGCCTTGCCGATTCCGGGGCCCACAAAGCCTTGTGCCATCTCGCACGGGACCCGCTTCTTGTCGCCGCTCAAACGGAGCCGAGGGTCCAGTCACCGATTGGGCTTTAGACTTCTGTCGGGCGCGTCCCCCTACGGGGGGATTTTCGACGAAAAATAAAAAATACCCCGAAAATGCCCCAAAAATTTAGAAAAATATGCAAAAAATAGTCCCCAGACTATTTTGGGACTATTTGCTTATTTTTAGTGCATTTTTAAAAAATTGTTCGTCGAATATCCCCCTGTAGGGGGACACGCCCGACTGAACCTTAGGCTCGTGGAGTGATCGGGCGGCTGGTGCCTGCTCTGTATGTGGCGCTGGGCGCGTGCCCCGGCGCCGCGGTGGGCGACTGCTCGGGGCAGCGGAGAGGGCCACTGACAGCTGGGTCACCCGTGCGTGCACCCTCTGTTCCCCCTGTGCGCCGATCTACGGATGCGGTGGCACCTTTGTGGGCCCCGGAAACGGCAGAGCAGTTTCTTCCCCGTTTCCAAAAAGATGCCCCTTGAAAATGAAAACGACAAAAAAACGGCGACTGGAAAAGGCGAAAAAACGGCTCCAGGATTGGAACTGGAGCCGGAATCGGTCAAAAAACGGCGACGGAACCAATAAAAAATTGCGTCGGAACTGGCAACAAAAACGGAAGAACGGAACCGGTAAAAAAACGGCCCTGTCGGCTCCAGGGCCCACTAAGGGTGGCACATCGTGGGAGCCGCGTGTACCCTCGCAACTCCGTCTTTAGCGTCGACTAGTCTCGATTAGCGTCTGGGAGTCGATGAGCTGGCGCCGATCCAGCGTCGGTGAGCGTCGAGTAGCGTCGATTTAGCGGCAATCAGCGTCGACCAGTGTCGATTAGCGTCGATTCGCAATAGCCGACAAGATGGTATGGAAGGGTCCCATGAGTTGCCACTGAACACGGAGCCGAGATTACCGCTCTTTTTTAGGGGTGGGTGGGTAGGGGGTTTGCTTCTTCCTTGTGCACGGCAGGGCCGGAGGAGTGGACGGTGGAGGACGGGGAGGATGTCGTGCCATCCGAGCTCGAACCGCGTGATGCTTCGGCCTGGAGGTTGCGTGCGGCCAGCCCTAAGCCCAGCCATTCAGCACAGAAGAGAAGGCCGCATACGTCAGAACGCTTGCTCGGCCTTACCCCAGGGCCGTCGCCGGCACCTTGCGCTCCTACAGCTTCGACGCCTCGTCGGCCCTCTTTCAGATCACATTTGAGCCATCCAGCAACAGGTCTCTGCTGACCGAGGTATTCCTGGGCACGGAGCATCACTATCAGAGCGGCCTCAATATGTCTACGACTCCGAGTGGGGCCCTCATCACGCAGACCACGTGCTACGGCGTCACGCTCCAGATTGCCGATGAGGGCTTCAGCGGGCAGGAGGTGACTTTCACAGTATCGCCCGCCAATGCATCGCTTCGGGTAGGCACGGTCTTTGTCTGAAGGGGCTGTGGTTCCAGTGGTTTTGCGTGGCCTTGTGATGCCTACGTGCGCGGGCTGGCAGCGCGTTCTTGTCGTTGGATTCTGGCGGGCGAGGGCTTCCCAAAGAGGTGCTCCCTGCAAGGCGGTTGGCCGTTTCCTCCTGCGCGCTGCCAGGAACGCATGCATTTGAACTGTTTGAGCGTCACAGCCCTGCACTGGGTCCGTACAACATGCAATTCTGCAATTTGGAGCGTGCACATTTGACGTGCGACTGTCGTCGGGGAAAGTCGCCCGACTGTCGCCTCGACGCATACGGGGAGGCGGAAAACACAGATGCGGGTAGGGCCGCGTTGTGTTCCATGCCGTGGGCTTCGGGATTCTTTCGTTGTCGGGCCGCGCCGAATTTGGAAGAGGGCATTGCAAACCCTCTGAGAAACCAGCCGCTTGCGTTGCACCGCCAGGGCCCAGCACTCTGCGGTTGTCGATGCGGCTTGCTTCGTCCGTGGCCGACGTCGCCAGACCGATTCCGGGCTGGTTGGCTGGTTACCATAGGGTCTCTGCTTTTGTGATGTCTGGGCACGGGCTCCATTTTTTTTTGTCGTTTTTCTTGTGACGGGCCCACGCGAGCGCGATTTCTCTTACTCCGACCATTCTGCCCGCAGCGATTCCAGCCGTTACTGTTTCCAGCCTCCCCGTAGTAAGACTTCGCATCATTGGTTCACTCAGCGGTTCGTTATCAAGCGCCTCAACCGCGAGGTGATTTTCCAAGGCCCTGCATGTTCCAAAGAGGGGCAATACACGTTATCTGATCCTCCTCACGCCTACGACCACTGCGCGATTTATGCGCGCATGTGTGCTGTCTGTAAAATGCGTTCCTCGTCCCCTCCATCACCCACCATGTCCATCACTCCGGGGGTGGGTAGCATCTTGGCTCTGCCTCTCAAGTCTTCGTAAGAAAGAGCTGCTTACTTGCGTCCGCGGCATGAGCCCTTCTCCACCGCCCCTCCGTGTGGCCTCGTAGGGAAGTTGGCTGGCAAGCATGAGGAGGCTGCCCAGCAACATAGTAGGAGCCAGCCGACAGGTACATGGCCCATCTCGTCCCTTCCATCCTTCGGCCCCTCCCTCACTCTCTCCCCTCCCCCTCTCCCCCAATGCTCTCGTCCTCCCTGCTCCATGTGACCTCGGTTGCCCCGTCCTGGAGGAGGAGGAGGAGGAGGAGGAGGAGGAGGAGGAGGAGGAGAAGGAGGAGGAGGAGGAGGAGGTTTCCCCCGTCCTGGAGCTTGCTGCCCCGAGTCTGACTCTGGGGCGCCGGCTCGACTTCCCAGCTCACTCCTCGGGTCGTGGTCCCTCTTTGGGTACGGAGTTCACGGTCTTGCAGGGACGGAGTTCGCCTCCGTCCGGTCCAGGATGTTTTCCGAGGGGGAGCCCAAGCGACAGCGGCCGAGAGCGCTGCCGCGAGGCATGTCGCACGTGGACTTCTTCCAGAAGTGGGACGCCGACAGGAGCTCGCGGCCTGGCCGAATTTACGTCAGTGATGCTCAGGACTTGCCTTCGCCCAAAGCGTGTGTTTACCCAAGTCAGCTCCACGGGTAGCATGCAGCCTGGGCTGGCCCTCATTGCACCGCCTGGGTCGTCTTAAGGAGCTTCGGTGGACAACTACACGTTGGCTGGGCATCTTTCGAACGTGCTTTTTTTCATCGGCGAGGCACATTGAGGAGCATCTTGGATCATGTTCGAAAAATAGACGCACGAAGTCGAAGAATACATTGGGAATGGACGTCCGAGCGATGGCAAGGTGGCGCCAGCACACGTTCTGAGGATTGTCGGTTACAGCCTGGCGAAGAGCCAATCCGTTGTCCGCGGTTTTGCGTTTCATGCGTCGCAGCTTTCTTGTGAGCCTGTCCCAGCCGCCAAAGTTCCCAGGACACGAAGCGCGTACAGTGAAGAGGTTGAAATATGGCCCGTTTCAGGCTCGAGAGGGGCTCTGGTTTCCCAGCCCTTTACCCATCGGTCGTTGAAAGTAGGTATTTTTGGATTCCCAGATTCCAATCTACTTTCAGCGCCTTCCTACTTCAAGAGTCGAGTGGTTTTCCCTCTTCCCTCCTCTTCAGGAGGAGGGCGGAAACCCAATCTATTTCCAACGCCTTCCTACTTCATGTTTCTACCTACTTCTTCCGACCGATGGGTATGTTAAAGTCGGGCATGTCCCTCTACAGGAGGAATATGCAAAAATAATCAACAAATCGTTCGGGGGCGATTTTTTTAGTATTGTCGGGCCCGGCGGAGAGCATGCGGAGCTGAACGGCACGGTCGGTTCTTGGCGGCGAGACGGCGCTTCGCCGCCGGGCGCAGAGGCGCCGCTCCCTCCTCGCTCTCCTCGTCCTTCTCTTCGTCGTCGTGGCTGGCGTCCTCCATCTCCTCCTCTTGCACTGCGCCACCAGGTGGCGCAGAGGCGCCCCTTCGCTTTCCTCGTCCCTCTCTTCGTCGTCGTCCTCCTCCATTTTGTCCTCTTGTGCTGCGCCACCAGGTGGCGCAGAGGCTCCTCCTCCTCGTTCTCCTCGTCCTTCTCTTCATCGTCGTTGTCGTTCTCCCCTCCTCTTCCTCCTCCTCCTCCTTCTCCTCCTCCTCCTCCTTCTCCTCCTCTGCCATTCCCCATTTCGGAGGTGAAGTGCTGGGCTGTCAGAGAAAAGAAGTCACGCCAGAACGATTTGTTGAAGTGACGGGATTGTGGCGGCGTCAACGCGTACAGGGGGAGAGGGAGTTTGGATTGTGCCGGCAGCGCGCGGGGCTTGGAAGGTAGGCGGACATTCTAGACGGTGAGGTGGAGCTGTAAGCCAGTCTATCGCTCCTCCGGTCGCGTTTTGACCAGGAGGGCGAGCTGTCCCGACGTGCGGACGTCGTCCAAGGTGTGGGCAGAGCTTCGCCGGAAGTGCAGGTCGCAGACTTCTAGTCCGCACATTTTGGAAGCGGTTGGATGTGAAGCTCTGGGACAGTC